TTATAGTTTGACCTGTAAAGATTCTATATACTTTGTCGTATCTGGTTGTTTTTCTTAAAAAAAAAAAGAAGAATGAAAAAAAAAACTTCCCAAGTATAATATGGTTAATGAGACAACAAATATCTCAACTATAATCATCTATAAAATACCACAACAGTCAATCCAACGATTGATTTGGTAGAGCTGGTAGGGGACACTATGCTTCTACCAAAAGTAGTGCCTCTTATATAGGGGTGGGCAAATGGTTCGGTAAACCCGAACCGAACCGAAACCGAATTAATGATATTCGGTTCGGAATTCGGAAGGCAAATATGGATAGTTCGGAAATCAGGGTTCTTTCAACCGAACCGAATTTCTGAATTTCCGACCGAAAAACCGAAATACTATAATTGCAAGCTCCAAATGGTGGATTATTATGTTTGTAGCTGTTTTTAGACTTAAATATTTGAAATGTTTTATGACTTATGTGTTGAAAAGTTTGGTTTTATCATTGATGATGCATATAATTGATATTTATTGTTTATATTAGAGGTGAAAAATAATTTAAAAGTGAGAAAATACTAGCTTCACGAATTCGGTTTTGTGTGGAAAACCGAACCGAATTATAGTTCGGTTTAAACCAACATAAATGAATTATAATTCGGTTCGAATTCGGTTTGAGGTTTGGAAGAATTCGGGAACCCGGTATTCATAATTTCGGTTCGGTCGAAACCGAACCGACCAATGCCCACCCCTACTATGAGATCATCTTGAAGCAACGAGAGAAGCTTATTAGGAGGTGTTTCTAATTCATGCATACCGTAGAGGTAGACGAGACTGTGCTTCGAGAGCCAGTCCGCGACTCTATTCCCTTCTCGGTATACATGAACTAGATTCACAATCCAGTCTTGAGCAATTTTTCGCCTGATAGCTGCTAAGAGGGCCGCATAAGGGTGGAGAGGATCTGTCATGTTGTTCACAAGCTGAATGGTCAACGGAGAGTCTGATTCTACAATGAGGGTTCTACACCCGAGCTTCCACGCCATTTTGAGTCCATGATAAATAGCTCATAGCTCTGACATGGTGGCTGAGCACAACCCCAAACTCGAGACGAAACCTCCAATCCAACTGCTGTTTGCGTCTCGTAGAACCCCGCCCGCTCCAGCTATACATTGGCTACCATTCGCCGCACCATCAACATTGAGTTTCCGCCAACCAGGCGATGGTGGCTTCCAACCAACTTGGGAAAGGGTGCAGTGAGGAGCCATCCTGGTTCGCCCCCATCAACGGACTCGGGGCATTCCATGAACGAAACCAAAGCTCAGCCTTGATTCTGACCGCCTGGACGAGGGAAGGGGCAGAGAGAGACTTGTCCTCCATGAAATACTCCTTCGTTTTCGTTTTTCCATATGCACCACAAAGCTATACTGAAGAACACTTTCCAGGGGAGGCCGGTTGGTGAGAGCTCGTCACAAGTCAGATTGTACTCTAGCCAGCTGTCCCACGAGCGACTAAAAAACGTGTGCTGCGTATCCACCCGGGTAGTGCGACTCCATAGAAATGCTGCCGGCGGGCAGTCCCTAAAAAGATGAGGGAGTGTCTCTGTCTGGGTATAACATCTATAGCAAGAGTCGTCATGCGTCAGGTGTCGTTTCGTTCTTTCCTCATTTGAACTGATCTTCCCCTGCGCAACCAACCAAACAAAGCATCGAACTCGCTCCGGCACCGGGAGTCGCCAGATTGTCTTCCAGATCTGTTGGGCGCTGCCATCGGTAAGAGGTTAAAGCACTTGGTATGCGCTCTTAGTCGAAAACCAATAATCTTAAATTGGTAACCTAGTGGAGCGTCGATATTTGAAGCATTTAATATTGCGACCGCGTAAGAGTATCAATATTTAAGGAGGGTGCCGATGTTGGCTATGACTAGCCAACGACAGAGACTCTACGATGACTTGGTTAGAATCGGCGGCGATGGGGACGATATGCTAGTGGCATCTGGTGATGTCGAAGTGTCCTTTTCCAGGCTAATTCCATGAAAAAAGATGGTCACCAAATAGTCGAGCTCTTACTTGAGAAATCTATGCTCTTGTAATAAACAAGTCGTGAATTTTGGATGCTCTGTAAAAAAGTCCCATTTTTGCGAACTAGTGTGTGAGTGTCGTGGCTGTGTATGCGAATTAGTTCATTTGTGTAATTTTTTTTTTCTTTATGAAATCTTGTGATTCACTTAATTGATGTGCCCCTTCGATGTTAACCAAGTGGTTTATGAAATGAATTTGTTCAAAAATTATCGTTTTAATCGGTTTGCTACAGGATAAGCAAATGGTAATTGTGTGGAAATTTAATAAGTGCTCATTTGTACATATTGACTCTCGATTCTTGAGTTTCTCTTAACCATTTATCTTGGAAACACTCTCTCGTTAGTTAATTTTACGATTAATATATTTGTCTTACCCGAACTTCTTTCATATTTAACATCCTGACCAATCCTTTTGGTAATTAATATCGTGGCCCGAACTAACCATACACTTTACTAATTTGAGCCATGTCACTATCTAATCAGCATAAATAAACTTAAAAAATTTCTAAATTCCACGTAATTCTTAAAATTAGTATAATTAAATTAAAATTTAAAATACAAAAATTGAGAAACATAATCCCTCATTCCCATTCCGAGGAGGTTCCTCTCTGCCAAATCCGGTAGTGGAGTTGGCCGAGCGTGGTGTCGTCCTAGACCCAACCAGAGCTATTTCTAAAAAAAAATTTAATTTAATTGTAATAGTTTTTAGGAATTATGTGGAATTTAGGATTTTTTTAAGTTTATTTATGCTAATTGGGCAGTGACGTGGCGGGTTGACCGTCAAACTAACGGTCAACTCTCCGGTTTGGCCAAATTAGTCAAGTGTGTTTAGCTCGGGCCACAATGTTAAATACCAAAATAATTGACCAGGATGTTAAATATGAGAAAAGTTCGGGCCATACAAATATATTAATCATTAATTTTATGATAGTTTATGTTCTTTGTAATATTTAAGGTGCTAGCGTATAGTGAAGGATTGAAAGCGAGTTTCTGGACATTTGAAGGTGAAAAGGAACCAAAGAGGTCCAAAGGAAATGGTGACATCCAAAATATTGAGAATCACGAGCGTGACTTTTAAGGGGTAAAATACCTTTGATGCCACTAAAGTATGAGAACTGGGAGGGCTATACCACTAAAGTTAGAATAGGGCGTCGGGTACCACTAAGGTCACTGAATTGTGCATAGGGATGGCAATGGGGCGGGTTTGCTTAAACCATCCCCATACCCATCTTCAAATACCCAAACCCATAGCCACCCCATACCCATGCGGGGAATATTTTGCAAACCCATCCCCATACCCGTGGGTTTCGGGTACCCATGGGTAATACCCATACCCGTACATCCAACATTATTATACCTAAAACTTACAAAAAAATTCTAATTATAATTCTAAACGAACATATTATATCATGAAGTCAATAAAACATGGTCATTTTTTTAATATGGTTCAAAGATTATGATCCTAAAATATCCATTAATACATAATATAGAGTATAATATTTTTCAAATTCTTATGTTCTAACTATGATACATCTACTAAATAATAATTAACTAACATAATCTTGTTGACAAGGGGGAAAGTGAATGAGTGAAAGAGAATTGAGAGAAATGAATTAGATTTTGATTAAGGTGGTCAATCAATTGCATTTCTACTATTTATTTTCTCAAGTTATCATCATCATTGTTGATAGATTATAATTTGATGCACATATTTTTTTATATATGAAGAAATTATCTTGATGGGGCGGGTATGGGGATGGGTATGGGGCGGGGGAGGCTAAAACCATACCCGCCCCATATCCATCAAATTTTTTGCGGGTTTTACCCATACCCGCCCCATACCCGATCAAAGCGGGGATTCCCCGCGTTGACTGGGTCGGGGGCGGTCGGATACCCGCGGCCATGGGTTTGATTGCCATCCCTAGGTAGAGGTCATAGCAATCAAATGGTGTGGAATCTACATATATGCTTCACAGCAACCATCTTGCAAAATGGCAACCAAATTCAATGCAACCCAGTCTCTATCTCGTCGACAATCAAAAGCCAAAAGCAGGGTGACCACTACTTCAGTCACTGTCTAGGCAGTGAGCTTATTCACTTCAACAAGGACTGGTTGAGAAATTAGATGGATTCCTTTCCAAGCAAAGTACTCCTTGGAATTGGATCGTAACACAACTGTAATTAATCAGGCTTCCCTTTGTTTTTCTCGACCAATAATGGCGGTCCTACCCAATATTTTTTTTCAACGACCTAATTGCGCCAAAATGGTCCATCCTTCCTTCCCCGCTGTTTACCATTGATTACAATCGATCTAAACAGTTCAGATTCGTTGCACGTTCGTTGGCAGTTCTGGTTCGGTGTTAACAGTAACCAACCAACCAACCCCTGGAGCTCTGCTCGCCTTATCTGATGATCATTCAAAGGAAAATGATGCAGACAAGATTGTCAAGAGAGGTGAATCACATATCCATCAGTTTGAACTTGTATCCAACCTTCTCTCGGGTGGTTTCCAAGCAATCTCGTGGTTGGTTGTGGTCTTCTGAGCTAGTGTAAAGCATTTCAGCGCATTGAGCATTGCTTGGTTGTTGATATTAATCCAAGCATTCACTCTTTGGATCATACCAGCAGCTTCAGAGTACATCTTACCATCATTACGTTACTTTCACAAATTCCAGCAAATTATGCCGAAGTATCAACTCCATTCAAAGGGTTCATCAAATTAGCCAAAACACAATTTCTAGTTGTATCAAAAAAACAAAAACTAAAGCAACAAAATTTTAAAGCATTATAAAATTTCTCTATTGTTTAATGGTACCGGAGGATAAGAAACTAATAGTGATTTATAACATTGTGTAAGTCTAGATCGCCTTGTAACCGAATCTCCTAAAAAAGGCTACAACCAAATTAAAGTTGTTTATGTCAAAGTAACGAAGTCTCGTCAACAAGAGTTTTAGTAATTATTCCGAAAGTTGATCTCCTATGTCAAATAACAAAAACCAGAGAACAATCTTCTAATCACAAATATAGTTAAATAAATCTCATTAGTTCTCAATAGTATGAATGCTAATACACAAACCATTAATCACGATTGTTTTATAATTTTTCACCAATCAAACTTTAAATTGCTAATTTCTATTTTTACAAAAGGCTAATCACAAATTAATTTAATCACATTGAAATGATCAAATGAACATCACAAAAATGTAAGAACCACAATCATCTCATCATCTCCTCCCCTCTCCGTTTCCAAATCTATAAACAAAATCCACTAGAAAAATAAAAATAAAAATCAGTCTCTGAGTAAGTAATTAGTTTACTTTCTTCTCCAACTTAATTATTTCCTCCTAATGAGCCCTCACAAAGAAAAGACTCAATTCCGCGCCGGCGGCGCCGTCGGGATTAATCATATACAGAGCCTCCGAATCCTTACTCCCCACCACCCTCTCAAACCTCGCCCTTATATACGTCACCTCCCCACCACCATCCACCGCCGCCGCCGCCTCCTTACCCGCCGGCGGCAACACCCCGGCGCCCATCGACACCCCACGCAGCAGCTGCATCACGTGAATTTCATCCTCCGACAGGCTCTTCCGGCGAATCGAATAACCCATCTTCCGGCCGTTGCAATACACCGCCCACACGAATTCCTCCATCAATTTCTTCTTGTAGCTCTTGGTCTCGCTCTCCAGCGCGATCCGCACGATGTCGGAGGCCATCTCCTTGTGGAACACGGCGGTGTGCATCGGTAGCTCGATCACGAACAACGGCGGCGAGTGCGGGTCCTCCTGGATCGCCAGGCTGACCCGGCCCGATCGATGGCCGAAGATCGTCCCCGTGGTTGCTCTGTCTTTGAGCAGGTGGGATTTTCTCGGGCGGCCGAGCAAGGCGACCATCTTGCATCCGGAGGTGAGCATTGGGAAGAGTTTGAATATTTTGAGGAGTCCGCCGCCGCCGGAGGAAGAAGGGGATTTTTTGGGGCGTTTTTCGGCGGTGGTGGCGGAGGCGGTTTGTTTGAGGATGGAGAGGAGAGCGGAGGTTTCGGTGTGGCGGAGGTGGGGGCTGGAGTGGACCGGCGGCATGTTTGGGGGAGAAGAAATGGGGCGGTGGATTGAGGAGGCAGGGGATGGAATAAAAGCAGAATTTTTGAAGTGTGAGAAAAACAGGGGATGGGATTTATATAGAGAGAAATGGGGGTTTGGGTCATTTAGGAGTTGGGGAGTTTAGGATTGGACTGTGTTTGGAATCTTTTTGAAGTTCCAAAAAGGGTATTGTTTTTTCTTTTCAATTATTCCCTATAGTCCTCTTGAATCTTTTGAAAGTTTTGGATGAGATTTGTAGGTAAAAATAATACATCTATATAACTTTTGAATAATAATAAGGTGTATTGTTATTGGGTAGCTATATTTATGGAGTATTCTATAATTCAGCTATATAGTGAGATATTTCTATCTGAATCATGAATTAAATTGAGTTTGTGGTATTAATACTATATATTTTAACCTCTAATGAATAAACTTTAGGTTTTCAGTTTCTAAACCTAAATTCGAAGATCAATTAAAATAATCGATGATTTTGATTTGTCGAAGTTCAATTAATATATCCAACAACCAGATTACTTGGAGTATGATATCCTCCAAGAGTGCACGAGTTGTAACCATATTGCTATAAGCACTTCACATAATATTCTAGTAAGTATGATGATTTAATGAGGCCAATTGCTAAAAGAACCAATCCTTTGTAGTTGTAGCCTAATGGTAAATGTTATTGCCGTTATTTTGGAAAAAAATAAAAAAATACGAAGTACCACTAGATTTATGTGTCATAAATCAATTGTCACCGTAATCGAGTCTAAAAATCATGGTGCTCGAGACTATCATAATTCCGACATACAACCTGTATCTTGCAACTAAGAAAATTTTTGCATAATATAAAGAATGAGTCGTAATGATAATACTAAGCTATAAATAACATCCGCTGACCAAATCAGTAATTACTATCAAGTAATAAGTGTCTAGTAGCTAACGGATCACTAGACTTGATAAGAAATGAGATCGATATAGGTTTATCGAGTATTTACGAATGTCAAGATAGTTTCGAATGTACGTCCTAATACTCTATTAAAGAAAACCATGTACCTCTCAGCAAGTAAATAAATCCAAATTTATATATTAGGGTCTTGAACTATGCATATACAGGTTCTGGAACTTAACCCTAATCATCCTTTATTAAAGGCCTTGATCTTTCCAAGTCGGGTGAGAAAAGGAGGCTAATGATCAGAGTAGATTGGGTTTGATGTGACCAAGCTTAGTGATGGTGGGAAAAAGAGGCAGAGAGAGAGGGGTTGAGAAAAGGTGATTAGATAAGAGAGATCGGACCACAATCACCACATAATGTGGATGGCAAATAAAGTAGATCGATCGATGGATTGTAGGGGAAGAAAAACTCACAAGATAAAAAGGCATGTAGTCGGCTCGGAAATAAGTAAACGATCGTTTTCTCTGTTGTGCAATAGTCCGATTCAGATAGAATTTCGATCAAATTTAGGAGAATCGTAGTTCAATAATGAAATACAATTTACGATATAAAAAATTGGATCAATAACGTATTTGGTTCGGTTCAAAGAACAATTCTGCCCATTTTTCTTTTACTATTTATAAAATTAATGAAATAAGGATCGAACCATATTATATATGATTCGATGTGATCTAATTCAAACATTAATTTAGTCTGATGTGATTCGATACGGACAAACTCGTTGTACACCGATAAGTTTTTTTTATGTGGTAGGCCGGCAGCCGCGGGGGGCTTGCTGGATCGGGCTTTCTGCATGTGCCTCTCTGATCATGAACTTTGTGAATCAACATCACTTGCTTTCTACTACTACATATATATGCTCTCTTTTTAGAGTCCCATTCCCTTTCCCATCCATTCATCCAAACAACAATCCCTCTCTCACAAAACTAATTATTGTGGGGGACGTGGGTGCATATATCTCATCATATCATCACCACCACCACCACCACCACCACCATTTTATCTCCTCTTTACTTTGCTTTACTTGTGTGTGTTTGTGATGGTCCTGTTGTCTTGTGAATGTCTTGTATGATCCAACCTTAGCTAGAATGACATGCCACTCAACTTGATTTTACAACCCCGGACTGTTCACGGGTCTACTTGCGATGAGTTGTGACCTTTCACCTATCATGACGTGTGGTTAATATTATTCGATTGATTAAGTGGGCTTGATTTTACTCGTTCATGAATGTCCAATGTGGTTTGACAAACTCTTGATTATCAATTTAATAAGATTTGATGATCCAACATGAAGTCATATTGTACTGTGATCATTTATAATTCCTATTTGTAATGATTTAGTAGTTATATATCTTAATTCTAGTCAAAATCACTTTGACCTAATTCAGTCTTTAGTTAGTATGGTTTATTTTTGTCAACTATTTTCCACCAAAAACTCATAATGGTTCAACTTATTTTGATCCAATTTGATATACACAGTCAACTTATGGTTAAATAGTTAAATTGAGTTTTAGTACAAGAATGATGTTAAACTAAACACTTTCTTATTACCAACACACTGTTAACCTAGTTGTAACTTAAAAGTATTGGGTTCGAATCTCGTAATTCTCTTGCTAACTCTTACTTTTCATTTTAGGTAGTAAAGTAGTTAGCAAATAGTTAAATTATATATTATAACTTTTCGGTTTTCAATTCCACATAAATTTCCAGAATTAAGGGTCAAAAAGTTCCCAATCCCAACTTACCATTGTTTTGAATTTACTTTGTTGCAACCTGTACTAAATAAATCATTAATGGTTGTGTAACTTGTATTAATAATAATGATCTGCTGAAGGAGGGTTCCATTATTGAGGTTTTTCTCTCATGATCAAAAGTTAGCTGGCGTGTACAATTAGTCTGCCTTTCGATCCTTTTTTTTTTGGGCAAACTAATAATGTCGAATAAGTGAATAAACCCAACACATGACATTTCCTTTCTCCCGTTTCGGGCTACCGTTTTGCTCTGCTTTCTTCTGCCGGACCATAGCCTCGTCCGTTCTGGCGATTTAGCATAAAGAGCAACGGAAAACAAAAAGTTGCCAAAGCCAAGACTCCCATTTTGGCTTGCTATGGGCTGGGGTTATTTTACGGATAACGACCTATATAAGTATGAGTCGACACGCCGCCAGATTGTCACTATATGTTGATACGTTAGTTTGAGTCATCGTCTTGAAAATTATCGTCGAGGAAGAGTGGGCACAAGTTTAAACCAGGTGTCAACATTAGAGTAAGGGAGACGCTCCAATTTTGGTATGCCAACCCCAGTCGCCGGCGACATCCTTAACATACTACTAGGAGGAAATTGAACTCCCCCATGTGTGAACTGAACTCTCAATTTGAGCAAATGAAGTTTTGTTGTGGACCCACGGGTATGGGGCCCAATACAGGGGATATAAAGGGAATAAGCCCTTGTCTTGTCGGCATCAGCATCATGGCCCATATTATTGGCATTTCACATCTGGGCCCAAATTCTAAACCCAACAGAATTCCATTGCGAAGGGGAACTGTGGCAACCTTGAATCATTTGTTCCTACCCTCATCCTAGATACGAGTATACAGAACTTCACGAATTCAGATATATTTTTCTTTTACATATATATAGTGACTTATATCGTACACCAAATATATCTTGAGGTATATCGTCCACCAGCAATATCCATAAGAGTATACAGAACTTCATGAATTCAGACATATTTTTCTTTTACATATATATATAGTGACTTATATCGTACACCAAATATATCTTGAGGTATATCGTCCATCAGCAATATCCATCGTCTACGTCCATTTCACTGGTTAGCATTGATGCGGATTCTGTAAGATATATATAGCAAATACAATGATGTGTTTCACTAGTGCAATGAGTTCATGTCCGCAATAATTTAACTCAATCAAAATAGAGAGATGAAACCATTGAAGTTGAATTGATGAAACCATTGAAGTTGAATTTTAAGTAGAATATTACCTATTAAAATTTTATTTTATGATTCCAACGCGCGCGACCATTAGTCATTGTATTACAACACATGGAATGATTAGACACAAGCCTATATTTGGACAATCATACTTCCACTTACGCTAAAGACTGTTTGCCCAATAAACCAAACCCATCAATCGCCAAAATGACCCTACTCCACATAATTATTTCCCAATTTTGATTGATGCAACATAAAGCTTAGAAAGTTAACCGGGGTCTAGCCTAACATATAATACATAAAATGCCTAACGTTTTCTGTTTCATGGCTAGGGTAGGGATAGAGGGTATAATTAAGAGCTTAATTAGTTTGGCTATTTGAGCTTGAAAGGAGAAACATAGAAAGAAAGGGCGGGGGACTAAAAGCCAAAGAGTGTTATTGATGTCTTAATCACTTTAATTTGCTGGATTTGCTAGACTCATTAAAGTACTAACCGTGTTCATTAATTAGCAACTGAAAGCGGATACTATCCATTAGCAGTAGGGCTAAAACTGGGCAGACCTGCAACTAACCCTATTATAACACCATCTAACTCGCCTATGTAGGGTTAATTTATAAAACTGGCTCATCCTATTCCTGTTTTATTCTTGACCTTGTTTGATCTTTTATTAGAGTCAAATTGAGCTAGTGAGTCGGCTCAAATCAATCAATATACTGATTTTTTGAAAATTAATTTTTGTATCTAATTTATTTTTTCTTAAAATTTAGTAGCTTAACTTTGTTTTTTTACAAACCGTCCAAAAATTTTGGTGGCAAAATTATATTTTAGTTTTATATTTTGTATCTTGCATTATAGTATTTTAACTTTTAAAACTTTACAAACAGGTTCAATATGTTAGTATGAGGAATTTCATATCACTACACAATCACCCTAATAGGGCCAAAAGTTGTCCCTATCACAAGATGACTCTTTAGACAAACTTACCCAATCCGACCATCGGACTTTGGCAGAACCGAGTCAGTGCGTATCTAGGGCCAGATTTGCAGCCTCAGCTCTTAGAAGGTGATGCTGCTTAGGGATGGCAATGGGGCGGGTTTAGGCGGATTTTACTAAACCATTCTCATCCCTGCTTTTCCTAATATTCAAACCCGTACTCGCCCCATA